ATACTGAACGGAAGGAACAAAAAAGCTGTAATGGCCTCACCAACTTATGTAAGGACTGACGTGTGGTCTCATTTATCTTTAGAAGCAAGCCAGGGACAGATCGTGAGTGCAATTATAAATAGTATGTGTTCATCCCTGGTTGGAAAATGGCAGAGTTGCCAAACCTGATCTCAGAAATCAGACAGTAAAAATATGAAGTGCATTTTCATCTGAAAGTTTACTCTGTGAAAGCCTAACAAACTTCATAGTCCTGGTAAATCATAGAATCGTAGAATGGCTTAGGTTGGAAGAGACCTTAAAGCCCACCCAGTTCCAATCCCCTGCCATGGGCAGGGTTTTCCATCCTCCAAATCAGGCTGTCCAGTACCCCATCCAACCTGGCCTTGAACACCTCCAGGAAGGTGTTCTTAGTATCCAGTTCATTCTCTGAATATCTTCTGCCTCATCTTTCCCTTTCTCATGCTGTCAGACACTTACACAACTTACACCCTTTGCCCAAGACACAACTGAAAAAAATCCCCCATCCTTACACTCCCCATTGCATTTGGTGGCAACATGTCTATGTTTTGGTTTGAGTCCTCCTATAATTTGAGTGCAAGTAATGAAGAGATGAAGAGTCTAGTTTCTCTCATCAGTGCAGCAGTGTGCTTCAATCACACATCTACCAATGGCAATATGTTGCACCAGTGTTGCTTTACACCATTCATTACTGCACAGTGCATTTCTCTTGGTTGTACACTAACCTGGATCTCCATTCTCATTAATGATTTTTCACATACGCAAATCAAAATACATTCATAAAGAGTATTTTTTCAAAGAATTAGTAAAGTTGTTCTTGTAATTATTAAGTGGGAGGAATGCAAGGGTTCATTTATACTATTAACCATATTGTTCATTGTTACATGCTATTATTATTACGTTTCCATGTAGGGAACAAGAGTTTCCATTTGCTGCTCTCAGGGACTTAGCACCACCCACTAAAAGCCTAGCCTATTGAGCCATACAGAGCGTAGAATTGTATAATCACCAAGGTTGGAAAAGACCTCCACGATCATCCAGTCCAATCGTTCATCTGCCATCAAAATTTCACACTACACCATGTCCCTCAGCACAACATCTAACTATTTCTTGAGCAACCCCTGTGTCAGTCACTCCACCACCTCCCTGAACAGCCCATTCCAGTGCCTGACCACTCTTTCAGAAGTATATTTGCATATTATAATTGGTTCTCTTGCAAAGTGGAATGGCACTGGCTTCAAACTGTATTAGTGACCAACCCACACACGCTGTTCCAGATGAACAGTAGCACTTCTGAGAAGCAGACCTGAAGTCAAGAAAAAGCTGACCTGACATTCAGTCCATGTGCTGGATTTTGAGTCCAATTCCTAGTCACCTCACTCTCAGCTGCTTTGTCAATCCCGTCTCTGTCTGACAGCTCCCACACCATGACATCAGTTTGCTTTTGTGGGTGTGCACCTTCTAGGAATAAAGGGACTGTTGAGACTGATAGCAATCTCAGTGACAACAATATTTCTCATACCAAACTCAGCGTTAATACATAAAAAACGATGTTTATTTCGTTACAAGGAAGTTGCAAATAAAGTGTTTCTGAACACGGTTTTGTGGGACTGAGAATTAATCTGTCAGGGCGGCCAGCTTTATCCTGCAGACAAATTCATTTGTAATCCTCTGAAGTATTTTACCATGTGACTTCCAGAGATAAAACTGCCTGCTTTATAGTGTATTTTCACAGCCCACACTGAGTGATGCTAAGTATGGCAGTATCTCTCTCACTAGATTAACTTTTAATTATTGCCATTTCTCTCATGAAAGTGACTGTGAGATATGAAAGCAGCTCTCCACATGTTCCTTCTAAGGTCAGAGGACATTTTATGTTAATTTGTTCATTTATTCATTTGTTTAAGACAGGAATTCTAGCAGCAAGTGACAGTAAGTAGAAAAATAAAGCAAAACCCAATCCATTCTCATCTGAGAAAATCTGACAGCAGCTTCTTTAATATTGCTCTCTTCCCAATATTCTAATTATTCACTTCCTTTCTATGAAAGGATTCTTTCATGTCTTTCAGACCACATTTTTGCCTAGTTGTTATGGCATTTCTTTGGATTTGGCATAATGTGGTGTTGTTACAGATATTGACGTGTTTGCTTGAAGATTCACTAACACATGACATGAATCAGTCTTTCTTCCAGAAATCTTCCAATCTAGGAGGAAAACTAAAAGGAAAACAATGGAAAATAAGAGAAATAGAAAGCACAAAGAAATGAAATGATTTGTATATTATAGATTTTTACCTGCTTCACTGGTCTTGTTAAACACCTGCTGATGGTATCAGCAGAAACCTGTCTAATTATGCAGTGCAAAAATGTTTTTGTCCCTGCATCATTTACGTATGTTCAAAAGACATCAAGAGAACATGAATGTAAAATATATCATTAGTAGTGACTGTCAGTGGAGCTGTGCATTTAGAGGAGCTTCTGACAATTATTCCTGCAGATGAGACTCAAATTTTTGTCTTCCATGTATGCTTTTTAGGCCAAAGGACATCTTTTGCTCGTATTTGGGAATGATGCAAAGGGTGCTCATCAAGAAAGATCTCAAAAAGCACAGGAAGTGATAAAATTAGACCAGTCATTGCAAATGTGAAATACTGTTTCACACACTTCACAAATCCAACAGCGTTTGATAATCTTTTAAAAACGTGCTGTATTCAAACAGAATTTCTTCATGCTACCTGACATATGACACCTGTTAAAAATAGAAAAGGTGTGAGTATCTAAAACAAAGTATTACTCACTAATCATCTCCTGAAGATATCTTTGTTTGGATTAATGATCCATAATAAGACTCCATATCAGTTTTGAAAGGTATGCAAGATTTGCAAAATCATTCCTTAACTACCTGCGTGAAATAATGAGTTGTTTCAAGTGTAAAGATCACTAGAACTCTAGCAATAATTTGCAGGTCCTTACTCGTTCTGATGAGATGTTAAGAATGTGCTATAAAACTTCTTCATTCACTGCATTGCACTCAGTTACATTTTAAAATCTCATATATGATGATGAACATCCATGTATCCTATGGTGGAAGCAGTTACACAGCAGAGTGGAGACAATAAAAATACAAATCCTTACAGAAGTCTTTTCCTTTATAATTCTTCCGAATGCACTTATTTATTTATTTCCTGTGTTATGTTGTACACATCAGCAGCCTGCTAGCCAGTTAGTTACTTTGCAGCTTATCTATCTGAGCATACAATCATAGAACCACAGAATCACAGAATGGCCTGGGCTGAAAAGAATCACAATAATCATCCAGTTTCAACCCCCTGCTATGTGCAGGGTCACCAACCACCAGAAGAGGCTGCCCAGAGCCACATCCAGCCTGGCTTGAATGTCTCCAGGCAAGGGGCATCCACAAATGACTTCCAGTTTGTAGATGGGCAGAATTACTTATTTTCAATGCTAGTGGTCCCAGGAGTAAAAGGAGTCTGTGTGGAGGTGGTGCACGCCTGGTAGCCAAAGGCAGATGGGGCCAAAGGTGATATTTAGATTTAAAAGATCAAAGAGACCTCTTGTCGTATTGCTATTTACCTGGGAAAAGAGGCAGACTCCCACCTAGCTATACAGCCTCCTGAGCCTCCTCTTCTGCACTCTGAACAGTTCCCTCAGCAGCTCCCCATAAGACTTGTTTTCCAGATCCCTCATCAGCTTCACTGATCTTCTCTGGACACATTCCAGGGCCTCAATGTCTTTCTTGTAGTGAGAGGCCAAAAACTGAACATGGTACTTGAGGTGTGGCCTCACCAGTTCCAAATTAGGGGGGCAGAGGCTAGCAAAATTTTATGGTCAGCAAAAAAACAAAAAACAAAAAACAAAAAACAAAAAACAAAACAAAACAAAAAAACCAACCATGTTTTAAGTCTGAGTAATTCTCTTCATGGCAACCTTAGAAGATCCCCGTCGTTAGGAGCTTTCTGGCAGAGGGCAGTCGCTGTAATAGGATCGGGCAGCATGTTTCCTTATGCCAAGTCACCAAATGCTAAAATGATTTGTCATCTTTCACTGCAGGCCACTGCCTGAAACACACATGCCCCAGTCTCATGTCTCACCCGCTTTGACATCAAAGTGTCTTCCTCCTGCAACTGCCAATGAGAAGAAACGCAAACAGTGATAGCGACTCATTTGCTTTCAGAGAGAGTTTTAATTAAATAAGTGCTCTTGGATAGTTCTTGTGCCTTATAATGGGGCTGAGGCAGGGGGAAAGATCTTTCATCATAAAATGTATTAAGTCTATAAATCTTGCTTACCCTGTCCCCCTGTGACTTCTTTATTTATTTCATAGTCACATTATTCCATTCTCCATAGAGATTTATGTCAACATTTTATGACGTCTCCCAGGCTTTCAGTCTGTCACCTTTTACAGCTGCCTCTTAATGCCAGGAGTCATTAAAGAGGGAGTTCATCTCATTTTGCAGAGGGGAAGGGGGGGAGGAGTTCCCTTCAGCCACATAAAGGCTGTTGTGAACAGGTTCAGTTAGCCCAATATGACTTCCTATAACAACAACTACACCTGTTTTGAGGAATGGGTGTTTTCTGCAGCGTGCCCTGCAGTTCTAATTTCCCAATTCCAGGCAGCAGGTCAGCAAGAGAACAGCAATGCGCCCCAGGGGGTGATCCAAGAGCAGCTGTGGCACATCCCCCAGTTTGTCCCAGATTTGCCCAGGTTGTCCAGTCTTCCTATTTAGGTGCACTCTGTGCCATTCCCTAACACGTCTCTGCAGAGCTAGGTGCAAGGAGGCAAATCTTTAAAGGTCATGGTGGAAAATGCTTCTTGTCTGTCCCACTTCGGGACAGGGAGTAAAAGGAAGAAAACGGGAGGTGCCAGCCAAGCCATGGCGAGACTCTGCATCCAAATGAAAGGGGTCCTTCCGGCGGCAACCGGCGTTATAATTATAGACTAGAAAAGAGCAAGATCAGCAGCTGCTGCTGCCGCTGCTGCTTGCGTTTGTTCCCTGTGTAACTGACAGGACGGAGGACTTGGCAAAAACAGCCTTCCAGAAGTGGAAAGTCATTTTAACCCCTGTGCTTGTCAGTCCTCTCTTCCCGGGACGAAGTGGAAGCAACTCCCTGCTCCAGGTTACGGGAAGAGCACAGGACGACAGCAGCCCAAGCGGATCTCCGTGTGGGACATCAGAACAGGAGGAAGGGTCTGGGATTTGCCTTCGTGCCTGGACTGCCAGATCCACGCAGCAGGTCAGTGGGCACAGAGAGTGCTCAGCGTGCTTTTGTATTTGGTTAGCGCGAATCTCTCTCTCTTGCTTGTTTTCTCTAATGTAGCATACACTCATATATCAGATAACTCAGTGACAAGGGGTAGATCTGTGCAGAGGCACTATTTATTTATATGTTCTGTAATGCCCCTTTAATGGTCAGTTAGGGAACACTGATTGCTGTTATTTTTTACTGTGGTTTCTCTCTGAACACTAATGCATCCTGAAATTCTCAGCCAGGCAAAAAACCCATTTACATTTGGTCTCAGTATCAGTAGGGGAAAAAAATCTTTTATTTTTAGGCACTTATGTCTAAGGGCTTCTGATGATCTTAGCAAAAGTGAAATGCTTTATAACTCACATTTCAGTCCAGGCTGGAGAAAGTTTCTTGAGCCAAAGAGAAAGCAATGTCACAGATACGAGCCAATGCATTTGCTGGCACAAAAGGTGTATAACTCGTGTCATGTCATCGAAACCCTCAAATCCAAACCAACAAAAAGCCTAACCCTTTATCTGCTGATTGAGGCAGGGCAATGCGATTGATCGGTAAGTCCGCAGCAGCAGTTACTGTGGTGTCTGATCCAGAGCTCTTTCCCTCTGTGCCCCAGCCAAGATAGGCAGGAATGCGCTGGAGGTATTGGGATCATTTGCTCTTCCTGTCAGCCTCAGCTTTAGCTTTTTAATTTCCTGTTATCATGAGTAATGTTAGAAGGACTCTCAGGCAAATGCTGCCCATGCCCCATGAGTCGGAAGCACCGGGCAGGAGTCAACCATAGATTCAGATGAGAACTTGACACGTAAACGTGGGTGTGCTGTACCCCGATGAGGGCAGCTGTTCATGGAGGAAAAGCACAAGTGTAGAATTAAATCTGTGTTTGAGATGTTGTGAGATCTAACCAGACAGGTATGTTGCTGTCTGTCATAGCTTCCTATAGTCCAAAGCGATCTTCAATCACCTAAAATGACCTAATGTATATTTTAGGACATTACATTTCACCCTGAATACCCTGTATGAACCCAATGAGAAATGTTCAGTAAAGCATTTTCTTAGCAGGAGCTTAAAATACAGAGTGTCTCAGGAAAGGAAGGAAAACAAAGGCACCACAGCGTGAAACTTCGGTAAGAGTCCCACTTCTATTTGCCCCATTCCAGAGGCAGAAATAAAAATTTGCTGGTATCCAGCACCTCCTGAACTCATGTGAAAATTTTCTGCTCGTAGCCAAGGGCTTCAAAGTGCTAATAGAGGTGGCAGGAATCTGATTAAGTGAAATGTAGCCTCTGGAATTAAGAAGACACACTGCAGAAAAATCACCTCTCCCAGTTCAATGTAGGGGAAAATATTTAATCTGGAATCCTGTTACTATTACATCTCTGCAGCTGTAGCCAAAATCCACCCCCTAGGCATTGCTGCAGGTCCTCAGAGGAGGTGAACCCAATTTGTCCAGCTAATTAGTGCCAATTTTTGGCACCATACAGTCTTTGATGTTTCAGAGGAAATCCAAGGGGAACACACTACATACACAGATCTCAGTGATGGGAAGGGAAGTGGGGGAAGAAACGCAGCCCTGTACCCAGTTCAAGGGAGTGGCGGTGATGGTGGTTTCTGAACTCTGGGCAGAAACAGCTATGGGTTTGATGTGAATCACTGTCTTCCTGCACAGCTGCAGTCCTTTTTCCTTCATGGTCCATGACAGAGGAAAACAAACAGAAAATTTCTCGACACCAGAGGAGACCAGTTCCAATGTTTGATTGCCTCCCCAGTCAAGAATTTATGTTTTACTTCAGATTGCGTTTGTCTGACTTCTCCTTCTGTTCCCTGCACCCTGAAAGGGTACCAGCCTAGCTATTAAGTCATCACATTATCAGATATCTTGTCAATATCTGTGCCTCTATACAGTTCCATTATGAGCTGTATATTAGTGGGGAGAAGGTTGCTTCACTGTACTGTTTGAACACACAGTTTGTCATTCACAGGCAAGGGCAGAATTCTTCTACAGCTATCTCAGGACACTCAGTGTGCACTGACACTGCTTTTCTACCCTATTCCCACCCTGTAGCTTAGCCACAGACTTCTCTCCGTGCTTATAAAGCCCTGTTTCTGCTCAAGAATGGAGATCTCTACTTCCATTTTCTTAAATGTTGCATCCTGACCACAGGCTTCCCAGCAGAAGGGCTGCTTGCTGCTTGCCAGGCAGTCAGCTTGGCTCCCAAGATGAACTTTCTGGAGTTCAATGACAACAATGAAATTGAAAGAGATGTGCCAAGTCCTAGAAGCGGAAAAGCTATCATTTGGATGCTAGGGAATAAAAGCTATGCAACTCAAAAAAAAAAAAAAAAAAAAGCAAAAAAAAAAAATTAAATAAATAAAAACCATGGAAAAAACAAAAATGTCAGAGCCCAAGCTGGCAAACTCAAGCAGACATTCGGCACATGGGAACAGACAGTCTGTCAGTAATAGGAGGCTTATGGTGTCTTTTCTCTGCTGATTCCCTGATAAGTAAAAGAAAAAATGGCACTTTTACAGCTGAATTTTAATGGTCTGTTTTTACGCTCTGCATATGAGATGTAGCCAAACTGCACTAAATACTATCTAGCCATCAATTAACCGTGGGTTCATATTTTGTTCTGAGAGTTAATGACCTACCCTGGCACCAAGAAAATACAGCCAAGAATCACATTTAGGCTAGTGTCTCAATGATGACTACCTTGAGGCTTTGCGCTTGTCTTGTTTGCTCCCTTTCTTAAGTGCTGTACAAAACTGCTGTCATCCATATTTAGAGTTTTCTGTAAGCACATAAAAGCTGCTGTGGCATCCCTATGCTCAGTAAGCAAGAATGAACACCAGAGCATACTATTTACCTGTACTTTTTTGGCATTGCTTTAATTAGGCTGCATTGCACACTGTGGACCTGAGCAACCTCATGGCTCTTTGCATGGTCATGCAATGCCGAAGTAAAGTGATGAGCATGCCTGGCTGCCAAGGAGCCAAATAACAGGGCTCCCCAGCCACCCTCAGCTGCTGTCATAACTATTAATGAAAGAAGCTGCCTCCAGATCTCATTTGCTTCTCGATGACCATAATTACCAAAGCCAGCTAAAAATACTGGCTGGGGAGGAAGGGGTATTTACGAATTTTACCTTTGCTTCTATTGCTGGACCACTGGAAATTTTTCAAGCAAATTTGCTTCCTTTTCTTTTCTTGCACCAGACTGGAGCAAACTGGGAGTACACAAAAGCTTTGGAGGTGTGATGCATCCCTTCCAGCACTGCTGCTGCCACCCAAAGTTCGGCACTGGCCGTGCCTTTGGCTGGTGGCTGGGGCCATCCCCAGGTGCAATGCTGCATCCATCGACCTGCAGGTCTCAGCGAGGCACAAAACCACAACACCTCCACACTTCTCTCTCTTTTCATATATAGAAAAACAGCATGTATATCTGTATACATCTAGCATTGTATGTCTGTATGTGTGTGTGCATCTGTGTATCTATCTATCTATACATGGCTGCATTCAGGTTAGGATATGCTGTCTAAAATGTTGTTGGTTTCCTGCTTCTCTTCTACTGTTTCTAGGCTCAGCCTGCCAAGACGATGACAGTCACTTATTCCAGCAAAGTAGCAAATGCCACTTTCTTTGGATTTCACAGATTACTCCTAAAGTGGAAAGGCAGCATCTACAAATTGCTGTACAGAGAATTTATTGTTTTTGCTACCCTTTACACAGCGATAAGTGTATTATACAGGTACACTCTTTACAATTCACATCTCATTAAATGTTGTACTGAAGTTTCACACTTCATAGCATTAGGCTGATAAGTGAGTTTGGGGCGGGGGGTACTACAAAGTTGGCTTTTCTTTGGACATTTCTAATGTCCTCTCATTTCCACATTTACTTTAAAGTTCCATAGGAAGCATGTGGAGTGTAAATAAGATACAGTCTATCATATTTGAAAAGTTTAGATGTCATAATGAGGAACATGGTTTAGTGGGGAAATACTGGTGATAGGTGGATGGTTAGACTGGATGATCATGGAGGTCTTTTCCAACCTTGGTAGTGCGGTGATTCTATGACTATGATTTGATTTGAATGAGCTCAGTCCTTTGCCTGTGTTGAACAGTTCTTCTGAAGTTAAGCCAAATAAGATAGCCTGAATTAGTTATGACAAACAAATGCCCACAGCTAGCTCACAATGTCTACCTGGCCATTATTGTTCTGACAATGTGCCTCTCTTCTCTGAGTGATGAGAATAGGCCTTTCATTCTGCTTGCTGTAGTTTGACAGCTACTCGGAGATAATTTCACTGACGACACAGAAAGGATTAATTTGAGGCAGAGGTTATATTTAGTCTTTTCTCAGGAACTGTGAGGTTTTCCTTCAAGCTAGAAGAGAATGCCAACCTTTATTTTAAGAACCTAATTTTGCAAGACTGCATGGAACACGGCTGTGGTTATTGCCTGTATGCAGAACAGCACCAGAGGAACATCTCCTTATTCTACTGAGGTGTGAGTTAAGCAGCAGCAATGCATCATTTAGTGCAGTGAGCCTTTAATTGATGAAGTGCACTAACATTAGTATCAAAATCCTGATTCAGCTCTTACCTTGATGTGTAATTAGATCGCAACGTTTTCTTTTTATGGATAGCAAAGAAAATTAGCATCTGTTTGTCTATATTTAATCAACAATTTGGCAACACATTCAGTGGTCTATCCCTGTGCATTCAGAAAGAAAACTACAGTATTAATACATTAAAAGAACACCACTGAAGTCGGAAATTTATTAAATTAACTAGATTCACCCAAAAGTTAAGCAATTAAAAACCATAGTAAATATAGAATGGAAAGCATTTCATATGCACTTTAGACTTTACTACAAAACCATAAGAAAATCCACTAAATATTTGCCACGTGAAATCAAAGAGTGGCTGTAATACTCATATATTCAAATAAAATAATGGCTCATGTTTTTGTATTTCATTAGATAACTCGCGCCATGGGAAAAGCTGCTGGGCTCCACTCATTTTCTACTATGTGGTGAATCTTTTCCCCACTGTAAGATAGGCACTGCTGCATTCTTCTTTGGTGGATAAGCAAAATTTTGTGGGAGTAAGAGCAAAAACTGCTGCAACTATGTGGCATTTTCAAATAACAGCCAGTAGAGATTGGTAACCTTTTGCAATTCAAGCAGCCCTGAGCATTTTTTTCAAGCAGCTCTCCGGAAAACAGGAGAGCAAGCTCTGCTTGCTGACTCACCTCTTACTGTCATCATTGGCCTCGATGGGATAGCTTGCTAGTTCTCAATGTGCACTGATTTTAATTAGTAGTGCTAGTTGAATTAGGAAACTACAAAGGCAAGAGAATACTATCATCTTCTCCAGTTTCTTTATTACATGCTACAAGTGTTCAGCACTTTAAGAATCTGCCTGGAGACGTTAGCCAAGTTTGCTCTCTTGTATGTATTTGCACTCTAGCAAGAGCCAGAATACTACAAAAGGACATATACATTTTATTTTTGCTGCAGATTTTTTCTTACAGGAAGCCAAAAGCGGTTCTTTGAAAAATTATCAATTTACTGTGACAAATACGCTGAACAAATCCCAGTAACTTTTGTGCTTGGTAAGTACTAGTTACATGTGAAATTACTCTCCAACACTGTCTCTGTTCAGGCATCTTGTTAATGCCAGTGCATGGAAGCATTGAAGAGATGAGGGAGTTTAAAGAAGGTCTCCTTAAAGTCAAGTTGCTTTTGTCACATCAACATTTATGCTCAGTTCTTAATATCCCAACAGAAAGTATTTTCATACATATATATATGTATAAACATATACAGTGCCCACTAACATTGATACATGGTGCCTGACCTTTCAAAGCACTAAAAACATTCAACATTTACTACAAAAGAGAAAATCTGGAAGTTTGTGTTAACACTGTATGAGATACTCAGCTGTAACAGGTCATAAAGTTGCAGTGTCTACTAAACAATAAGTTTTGATTGCGTACTGTTTTTGACTTGACATACTACATTTATTCTGGTACAAGGAGCAGCTTAGTGATGTGAATGACACTCTACAATCTAAATCAAAGTAAGCTAAACTGAAGCACTGAAAGGCACTGAACATTTTTCCTTCTCACACACAGGTTTCTACGTCACGCTGGTGGTGAATCGCTGGTGGAACCAGTTTGTGAATTTGCCATGGCCAGACCGACTGATGTTCTTGATCTCTAGCTGTGTCCAGGGAAGAGATGAATATGGCCGCTTGATCAGGAGGACTCTAATGCGTTATGTGAATTTAACTTCTCTGCTGATCTTTCGCTCCGTGAGCACAGCTGTGTACAAGAGGTTTCCCACCATGGACCATGTGGTGGGTGCAGGTACTGCTGCGTCCTTCTCTGAGAATTTCTTACTTCCCCACACGGGTGGGGGCACGGGGTAGGAAGGTGTTTGCTTCATACACGTATTGAACGAGGCTTTATTTTCTCTCTACAGAGATTTGGTGATCTCATCCAAATAGCACAAGTCATATTTTTACTGAAAATCTTGCATTTCTTAAAATTATTCCTTTGGCACAGATTAGTAAGCAAAGTTGTAGCAAGTTAAATTATGCAGTGCATATATACATATACAGATTCAAATATATGCAAGAAGCTTTGGGTGTTGAAAAAAAGAAATCCAGGCAAAATGCAGAACGCAGAACGCAGAATGCAGAATGCAGAATGCAGAATGCATGCATCTTACCATAAGAAATCATTTGTGTTTCCACCCCATTTTCAAAATTCAGTTGAAGTTCTATTCCTTTTGCTTTCCAACAAAATTGTTTACCTGAGCCTGCAAGAGGTCAAGGAAACTTCTGTCACTCTCCCCAGCAATCTGCTTCTAGCACACACTGGAAAATTACCACATTTCCAACAGGCTAATCCAGCTCTGCCTCCCTATTGCTAAAGACAATCTGTTCCAAAAGAGACAAAATTGTAGACTGGAAAACAAGAGTGCTTTTTTTCTTTTTTTCTTTTTTTTTTTTTTTTTTTCCCCCTGTACGTTGGAAAACATTCTAGTATAAACAGCATCACTAAATATTGACAGTATAGGCATCTTGGTGGATTTCAGTACAGATTGTGTAGGCTCTTATACATACTGTGCTGCAGAATTTTTGTTGATGTGGTATTGAGCACTTGGGAGTAGATATTGCTACTACTAACACTGAGTGATTAAGATAGTACTCTGTAATTATCCCCTTCCTAATTCCCTACAGCATTATATAACAGGCTGCAACATTTAGTATGAATGTGAGTGGCAGAATCTGATACTTACAGAGCAATCATCACTGAAACAACTTGTGCCGATTTTGCATTTTGTTCTCAAACTGAGAACCACCGTGGTATAAGTACTGCTACACGTTTCCCTTCTCAGCAAATGAACTGCTTAAATTTGTAGTTTTAAATCTGGGAGCAGTATTATGATAATCTAGTCTGACTCATCCACAACACATGGCATAAAAGCTTATTCACCATCTCCTTTTCAAATTGCAATTTCTGACTGAACTATAATACCTTCTAGGAATCCGAGCAGCCTTGATTTAAAATTCAGCTGAGTACAATGGAGAATAAACAGATCTGACATTCACAATTGTGAACTCACTGTTGAAAAGTGGACTTTCATTCCAAGTCTGAACTTGCATACAGTCATCTTCTAAGTCACTGGATTTTTAAATGTGTTTGGTTGTTCTTTTTTTAATTAGATAAAATCAATGTTTCCTATCAATAATTCCTTATTAGCAGAGTGTATAGGGGCTTGAGAAAACTTACAAGATTGGTCTTCTTTAGTCTCTCCCTGATAAGGTATGGTCTTCATATCTTGATCTTCCTCATAACTCTTTTCTAAACTCTTTTTCATTTTTTAACATTTGTTATGGAACTGTAGGCAGTAGATTGATGTAGATCCATGACATTGAGATGTTGAGTACTGTGACACATGTGCCACAACCATCAGTGCCTAACAGTCATGAGTTTACAAATCCTGTTAGATGCAAGGTGAGAGAGCAAAGTTGGATGATCAAGAGTATGAATCTTGGAAAATGTGAGTAATGAGACAACAGCTGGCCAAAGAGCAGCCCAAGACAAGCAGTAGGGAGTCACAAAGAGAAACATGAGTTATCAGCCCAGGGACATGAACGCCTACTGCTGGTTGAAATTCACAGACCCAGACCTACCACTGGAATGAAGCATCTAATTAGTCCTTCTCACATGACAGAGAAACAGAAAGTAGGACTTGTATCTGCTTAACCTTTGTTAGCACACTCTGGGGAGATGTGGGAGATGATCGCCAATCAGATCTTTCTTCCTCTAACCACAGGATGTTATAGTTATTTACATGGGTATCTTGAAACAGTCTTGCCTCAGTCCATGCCATTTTGATGGGAGACCCAAACATTCCATAAAGCACTTCAGGGAGAGCACAAGTGTATTTTTCCAGACAGGGTTATGTTCTCATTAATAATTTTTCCATAAGATTACTTTGGTTGGCACTGTTCACATTACTGTCTCTTCATTCTTTGCTGATTGTACTGTCAAGATTTTAATACTTTCTTTTTCCCAAGCATTTAATTCCCTGTCATTCCTTAGATCATCTTTCTCAAGATGCATCTTGAGATCTCAATATCCTGGCACAATATTTGCAAATATTTCCAGTTTTCTGGAGCTGCCCCCATCTTCCAGTTCTTGTGAAAACCAACAGTTTTGTTCAGAATTTCTCAATTAATTCTTCGAATGCTTTTAAATAAACATTTAATGAACGTAGTTAGAAACCATTTAATTTTAATAAATGAGCTTTAATATAATCTCCTGTAATTTATGGAATAGAAAATGTTTCCTTATCCAAGCAGTTACAAGTGCTTCTGTACTGCATATTGGTTTTACTGCAGTAACTTTTGCCAGCAATAACAGCAATCAAGAAATGTTTAATATTTCCTAATGTTTAATATTTTCTACTATCTATTATATATGTCCATCAAAGACAATGTTTAATTAGTGTAAACGTGAATGCCTTGACTTTAATAATAATGGCAATTTGAATGCTATTGTGAAAACAGTGGTGCTTTGTCTTGATTTTCTGAACAAAAATGTACCCAATTTAAGTGGAAAGCTGAACTGATCCCTGGAGCTTTGCTATTCTTCATGTCCCCCTCAGGCTGTGTCCTCAATAATGACTTCCCAGAGCCTCTCCAGGGAATTTCATGCTCCAGACTGTCAGTTTTTTTGTATTCTGTCTGTCAATTCCAGTATGATAAAAACATTCTTCTCCTATCTTGCAGTAAGTAAGCTGGTCAGATGAAAATCAAAGATAGCCTAAAAGAGTGGCACTCAGGAGTCAGAGCAGTCATAACTAGCACAATAAATTGATTGCCCAATTTTTTCTGTGCAACTCGTTATAAGAACTGGATGCAAACTGTGAAGGGACCTTTAAAAGCTATATCTTATCCTGCTTTTATGTTCCAGGATTCTGCAAAAGTACCATATCTTACTGGTGAACTGCTTGTCTTCTAGCTCAACAGCAGCATGTCCTATCCTTGTACTCCATCTCAGTACAGAAAAGTATTTCATACCTCCTGTGTTGTGCGGTTCCAAATACACAACAGCAGCATCAATCTCATCAGGGTTGCCTTGTTTAACAAACCTGTTCTTGCCTTACTCATATATTTGTGCAAGAAAAACAACTGTGTGAGTTTGTATACATTTATTTTTCATAGCTTGGTGTATAATTAGCAACATTATTAAGAGCAGGCCAACTTCTAGTTAATAGCTGGAGTCTAGAAAAATTAGTGTCTATTCTTAATTCAAAATCGAATCTTCAGCACTCAAACTATTGTTCAAACTTATAATTAGTTGGAGAAGTCCCTTATTTTGCAGCTACTTTGTTATTAACTTTGTACTGTTTCAAAGCTAATATCAACACAACAAAAGAAGTCTTGCATCCATCTGAGCAAAAACTTAGGTTTCCCAGAATTAAAGATTGCTCGAATCCCAGAATATCTGAGATCTAGGCAAAAGAAAATGTAAAATTCCCTTTGTGAAATTTCCGTTGTATTTCTTAGAGGTGTGGGTGAAGGGAGGAGAGCAGAGCAGAGCAAAGCTTTTCAATCCACGAAGCCCAAGGGGTTGAGGCGTTGCTCCAAAAAGCGGGCTGCTCCCGTGCCAATCCCAGGCAGTGGCGACTTTGTCAAACACAGCCCTGGCTGCCCTTGGAGTGCCTTACAACAGAGGGAAGCGGGGCTTCACAAGGCCATGCTGCCTCGGCGGGAAGCACGGTGCCCTCCCAGCGCCCGGCCGGGCAGGCTGCCAGCCAGAACACAGCTTCAATCTGCAGGCCCACAGCCGGGCCTGGCCCAGCGCACCGCTAGCAGTAGCGCTTCTCTGCGTGACTCCATTTCCTTCCCCTCGTGTCCCTGCATAGCCCCAAAGAAAATACAAAATCTGGCAGAGAAGCATTTCGTTGGCAGAAAGCACGCTCTCAGCTGAGCGCTGTTTCATACGTGTGCTTGTGTGCTCCATTTCTTGCTCACTACCTTGCAGGTTTACCAAAAAATTATTAGAACCAGGTCATCCGACTGCCCTCGGAACAGATTATGACATCCTGCTAAAAGCCATTATTGCCGAAAAGTGATACCTTATTGATTTTCCTAAAAGTAGAATATGAAACTAGAGAGTAATCTGGTGAATCTGTGCAAGGCTTAGTGGTATACGTATCTACAGTATTTCAGCAGTCACAAAGGAGAGCTGAAGCATAGCAAATTGTCACATATATTGATGGATAGGGATTGCTTTTTAGGTAGTTAGAGCAAAAAAAATTGCTTCAAACAAGATGCAACCTGAGAAAATAAATAAAAAAGGAGGCTACTAGATAGAATCATAATTAGTGTTTTGCACGGTTCTATGCAAATAAACATAATTATATATAACAAGCTGCACTGTCAATACAGTTTTGTTTTTTGTTGTTGTTTTATAAACAGGTTTTATGACAAGACATGAAAGAAAAATATTTGATGACCTTAAGTCTCCCCATCTGAAATATTGGGTTCCGTTTGTCTGGTTTGGAAATTTAGCATCGAAGGCACGAAATGAGGGAAGAATTAGAGACAGTGTGGATCTACAGACGCTAATGAATGTAAGTTGAAAAAGTAAACCTCCAGCAAACCAGTGTTAAATTGCTATGCAGTAGCTTTTCACCTACATAACTTGATTTAGAGCACTCAGCTCTCCAGTGTCATCTGAAAGATCTTAGAGAAAATCTATAACACTTTTCTGGTGTGCCAGTGTACACTCAGACACACACAGTAGAAGTTCACTGGGATTGTGTTTATATGACTAAGAAAGAATTACTTGAAACAACAGTTTGGTGAGTAAAAGCCTCACTGTAAATTCATACTTGGCCCATTACTGTAGAAAAAAAAATCTGATTGTTATTTGGTAATTCAAAGATTTTAGTGTCAATTTCAGGGAAAACAGACTCCCTAAATATTTTGTTAAGTGGCCCGACATTATTTATGTAATAAAATGCATTCTCTTATATATCACTAAGCTGTATATAAGATAGAAACAAAAGATCATTTGTGAAGAAATAGATATTATATTAAGCATTCCAACTCCATAAATTAAGTGAATATTCAAACATTACAATGAGCAGCTGAGTATTATTATTCTGTGAATTTATACGACACCATCTTATCTCCCTGTCCTTTTGCATGTATAAAAATAGACTATAACTAAATGTTTGTCATCCAGGATTAACTCCATTTTAGTTTGTTGGGATATGTTTCTTCTTTTTCTCTCTTTTTTTTTTTTTTTCTTCAGGAAATGAATAAGTTCAGATCTTGGTGTAGCCTTTTGTTTGGCTATGATTGGGTTGGAATTCCTCTGGTCTATACACAGGTACTGGATAGTTTCTTTCACCTGTTTTCTTTGAAATACTTTTTCCGTAAAAGGGGACATTTGTGCCAAACATCCATAGTCTGGACTGGCATCTCCAAGAAGTCTGGGGCTTGTTGAGTATCAGCATCTGGCTAAATATTTAATGTTAAAATTAATGTTTAATGTGGAGATGTTTTGAAATCCTTGCATAATTTGGGAGAGCAAGGAAGCTCCAAGATGTTTTTGTTTCCTGGGTCTACCTCCTGGCAGTGATTACTCTTGCATCCTCTTTATTTGTAACACTTTGTTCCAGTTTTGTAAATGATATTACAAAAGGCAGTCGGAGGCCTTTGGACTTGTGATGCCTTATGCATAAGACTGTATTATTACATTTCCAATTTAGTTTTTCTCTTCACAGGTTGTTACTCTTGCAGTGTATACCTTTTTCTTTGCCTGCCTGATAGGCCGCCAGTTTTTGGATACTGACCAGGGGTATCAGGGACATGACTTAGATCTTTATGTTCCAATCTTCACGCTGTTACAGTTCTTCTTCTATGCAGGATGGCTCAAGGTAAGCTGGCATTCTGGGAAGGCAATGGGGGAACCTTCCTTACATGAGCTGCTGAAGTGTCAGATTCGTGGCCCACTAAAATCACCAAGGTTTTGGGGAGTTACAGCAAAGCTAAATTCAGCCCAAAGTGTCTTGCAGTTATAAAGAAAAATTATCCAGTACATTGTTAATTCCACTCAAAAAGATCTTACCATAAGGAGTTTTCAGGAACCTGAAAGATACAATTTCATTTGGAGCAGCACAGCAACAACTCCCTAAGAAAGATAACTAGCAAAATCTGGTCCCTGGATGTGGACTATGAAGTAACAGATGAAAAATGCTTTAAATATTTTTCCCACTGGGCAATTGGTGGGCAAATACTTTTGCAGACCTGGCATGGGCTGAAAGGAACTAAATCACAATTTTGTCTTATGATCACAGCCTGCCTTTAGTGTCTGCTACTAACTAATATGATTCAGACAATTTAAGGTCTGCTGTTTCATAAGGCTCTCAAACAGTGATAGCTGTTATTGCTTACAGTCTCACTGCATAAAAGCATTCATTAAGAAGAAAAATTATGGAAGGCCTTGGATGCTACCCCTCAGCCCATTGATGCCTGGTTAGTTAATATATTGCTGTTGATCTGATAGATAAGTAATTAAGTCACACACCTCACACTGGCTCTCTTCTTTGCTGTGAGGATCAAGATAGATTAACTGAGAGAAGTTTTAAGTAAAAAGCAAATTTGTACATTAGGGCCCACGTACTTAAAGGTTTTCTCTTGGGATTATTAATCATAGCTGGAAATTTTAAGTTCACTTTTCTTAGGATATAAATAGTACAAAATTGGCCCTCTTTCCTTTAATGCCCCCATTTTTAGAGGGTTTTTTCCCACAGCCATCTCAAAATGGTAGGGTAAAAAAATGCAGCATATCAACCTGTTGAACTGCAAAGGTCTGGGGAGGGATTGCAAAGCTGCTCACTCTTCAGAGGCCTGCAGGGTAAGCTCTTTTAGTCCTGTATGGCAGGAAATTTTTTGGGGGGGAAAAGAGGCTGCAGTATAGGGGCCAGCCTGGAGAAGGAAGAAGGGAGAGGATTCTGCTGCAGGAGGAGTGCAGTATCCATGGATGTGGAAAACTTTGCACATGAGAAAGAGTTAGGATTGGTTCTTCTTTGATTTCCATCTGGTTTTGCCACCTGCTTAATGATGTTTTATGTTTAATAGCAAGTGAGATACCTGCAGGCCTTAAATTCCTATCTTTTTTAATTGAGTTTCAGCACTGATTTTCTTTGAAATTATAGATATGAGGCTTTGTCTCTAGGCACTACCTTTCAGGGTTGTCCTGGTGGGTTATAAAACTGGAAGCTTATCCTCCTGACCACTCTGCCCAATGTGTCAGGAAGCCATGGGGGATGGTTTCCTCTCCATCAATATCCATCTTTTCCAGTTACAGGCTTCCAGCCAACTCCAGGCAATAGATATGGAATATCATTATAACTGAGAAATCTTCTGCATAAGAAAATGAGGAGGAGGAAAAGCAGCTTCTAAAAACCAGACAAAATCAGCAGTGTTCCCTCAGACTGCCACAGAGTGCATATCTTTCTGTTCTGAAGGTTAAAGCTGTTTCCTGCTGAGCGCGTTGGGTTTTGGCTGCCAGTGTGCATACAGGGCCAGCACTATTGACTTCCAGTAACTTGGCAATTCCTCAGAGATGATAGCAAAACTGAGCTCATTCCTTGGCCTCAAGCCTGATTTGTTATACCTGCAATACAGGGGCAAAGTTTCACAACACGTGAGACTCTGCTAAATCCCTATTTCATTGCTGCAATAGACAGACCATCCAAATACAGGGCTTAGCTGTCTAGCATTGCATTCCTCTCCAGACAATAGAAGCTAGTGGCCAGGAAATGTCCTCTGTCCTAACCCTGCTCACTGTTTTTTTTAGCTCATGGGAGAGGTTTTGCAGTGGATTTTTGGGCAGTAATTCCTAGGTTAACACTGAGCTAATCTGGTGCCTTCCCTGGAGACCCACAATGCCATTTGCATTCTGCCATCATCTGATTCCAGCAGCCACATAGCTGTACCCGAAATGTAATGCCCCAGGGCACACACACAAATGTGAGCAGAGGTGTTCCCCTTCTGCTTCTCACTCCTCCTGCCTCCTTTTTTGTTCTTATAGTTTGTCTTCTCAGCATTTCATTCGTCATCTTCCACCACCAGCAAAGGAGAGTCAGCAAGCGGTTAGGTAACAGTGCAGTTGAGCAGTCCTTAAACATGAGGCACATGCAAATAAATAGCCAGGGAGTGACAGCCTTACTATTAAAAGTTATTTAGATCATAGCAGCCCATAGCGATCATTTTGCCCAACACCATGATGAACGTGGGGTCTCTCCACTCACCCTGCATGACCCTGGCCACCTCCAGGATCAGCAATGGCATCACTAGCTTAAAAAAACAAAAAGAGGGAAAATGTGGAGGAGGGGAGAATATTTAACATTAGTTCACCAAGAAACTGAGAAATAAGTAGTCTGAATGTCCCACTGCTGTTTTTCTCCAGTTCTCCTATTTCAGATTTTTCTTCTTCCTCAGCAGCAGTGATTTCATCCCCATAACGGTTTTTGGTGATCATGAGGCCTGGAGCAGCCTCCGATTATTTTTCCACTTATTAAGGCCTTAGCAGGTGGGGAGTAAGTGAGGCAAGGGCAGCCCAAGAGGTTTCCTTCACCTGAGGCACCTCACCATGGACCTGCCTGAGCTCCCTGAGCAGTCACGTCCTCCACAAAATAGTCTCTACCCCTGCAGCTTTACTCACTTCATTTACAGAAACAGAAACTCCAGGCTGAATTAAAGAACAAACTCAGACGCTGTCTCTTGGCTTTGGCTACCATGCCAAATGACTTTCACTGGAGCCAAGCCTTTGGGTAGGCTGCTTTTCTCAGACCTTGAGAGGGATACAGTTAGCATGACCTCAGGTCAATCGGCAGCAGCCAGGGGCTGATGTCCAGGACTCAGGGGATGGGCTGTGTTCCTTCCAGAAGACCTCAGCTATCTTGCCTAGAAACACTGAGTGGGCCAGTGGAGTATCATAGACCATAATGCAAGAGCCTTCCATTGCTAAATCACTAATGTAAGTCAGCTTGAGAAGCAGTGAGGGAAGGTAATGATTATCTCATGTGACAATCACAGCGGCCCGGACATTTCTCAGTTCCTGTAAAGCAAGACCAACAATCATGACTGACAGCACCAATGAGACACCATGGTCTGCATGCATAGGGAAAGCAAGATATTCTCTGCTCGACTGGCACAAACATCAAGCTCATGTTATGATTGCAAGTGACAGGCAGGGAGAGAGAGAAAAATCAGATCATATTTGCTCTGAGGCAGCAGTCCTGACATTGCATGTTAACCTCTATTCACTGTCTCATCACCCTCTCAGGTCGCGGAACAACTTATTAATCCATTTGGAGAAGATGATGATGATTTTGAAACTAATTGGTGCATCGATCGAAATTTACAGGTTGCTGTTGTTATTTCTACTTCCAGCTTTGCGGTATCATAGATCATCATTATATTTAATCCCCTTTCTTACGTCGAAGTACAAATTAAGGGCAATGAGTGTCATTAAAACAAACTCTTTCCCTGAAGCAGTGCCTGTAGCTATGATCCCCAGATTGTATTTTCATAAGCTAATGCATCCTGGTTTGGGTATTTGGCATCGCTTTTTTTCCTGACTAACATGCAAACATCTGACCTCCAAGTCTAAGCTCACCTTATGCCGGGAAAAGCAAGTAATGTGGGTCAATCCTGCCAAATCCAAAAGCCATCCACTCCCATTTAGATGAAAACAAGCTTTGCTAATCTGAATGTCTAATGATTGCAATGTTGTATATTAATCTTCCTTGTATAATATCTCAGAGAAGATCCCAAAGCAGAGCCTTCGGTCTCTGGCTTAATGCTACCTCAGGCTGCTGCAAGGGTGTTGCAGAGCCCTTTTGATGAGACCTCTCGCAAGGCCCTAAACAGGGACAGTCACATTTGATTCTGAAAGGGTTAAAATGTGGAAGAAATCTTCTCAGGCAGTGGAACATTCAGAGGAACATAACGCATTACAGACTACCCACTGCACACTGGGATCACAAGTCCGTTTAACCGCACCACTGGTGAAGTAAGGACTTCAGACCCAAAGAAACATCTTCACAGCACAAGACTCAAGTTGCATTAAAATTCAGACTTTCACAGGTGTATGAAGGTATCAAGACTGGATTTTAGTAATACTGAGTTTCTTCACAATGACCAGAGCACACGGTTTAGTTTAAAGTGTCTCTAAAAAAAAAACATTGAGCTGAGTAGTACAAAGCAGGTTATTTTGTATGCTGTAATAAATTGAACGTGACATGATTTATTCAAAAAATCTAAGGTCTCACTACTGGCGGTGGATGAGATGCACATGAACTTACCAAGAATGGAGAGAGACATTTACTGGAACGATTCTTCCGCCCGGCCGCCCTACACAAAAGCAGCTGCTGATTACTGCATTCCTTCATTCCTCGGATCAACAATTGAAATGGGGTGAGTGGCACAACAGTCCCTACTGCCACCACCAAGATTGCCACAGCTGCAGCCCCCACCTCTGCAGCTGAGGGGTGTGGGCTGTACCAGCGACTGCTGCAGGACCTTCGCTGGTCTCCAGTGGCCAGTCCTGCTCATTAGCACTCATCCAGACAGCTGCCTCAAGAACTGCATTTTGTAACACACAGTTAAGACAGTTTCCATTGGGGGAACGTGGTAAAGAGGCATGGGGCTCACAGATAGGATGACATTGTGAGTGGGAAATGTCAAGAGTGGAAAGGGTGTTGCTGGGAGGGGGCAGGCAGGCTGGTGTTGATGGGAGGATGTCTTCAGCAATCCCTGTGCTCATAGAGATTGCGCATCCACAGCACATGTTGTCTAATTAATAACTAGAGAATGCCTGGGGGGAGCGCTCACAGATGTTCTCTGACTATTGGACAGCACCTGAAGACAGTGACAGACTTCTTAATAATTTTCCACTTACTATGGCTTCTCCATACACCACCAAACAGCTATTCCTTTGTTCGTTTGAGTAGCAGATGATGGCTGACATTAGTCCAGATTTTTGAGAATATAAACAGGAAGTGATCTGAAATGTAGTATGGCCTTTAATTGAGTAATGATCCAGGCAAGGAAGCTGGAACGGTCAGCATTTGTGAAAGGGTAAAAAAGAGGAATTATACAAAATAACCCTTGTTGTAAAGAAATACTGAGAGTTACAGGACCACCCAGAGTTGTTGCAATCTGTATTAGACTGCAGTGATGGGCCTGTCAGTTTAGCAGGTGTTGAGTTTAAGCACTTGTGACATACCCTAGCATAAAACCAGTCAGTGTGTGTAAATATCATCCTGCCTTAGCAAAGGCCAGAGCAAGTCAACATTTTTACCTGAGTATGTTTACAAAAGCAGCATAGAAGTCTTTTTTGTAACTTCATAATTTATTTCAACAAGTTCTCAATTTTTTCAGAAAAAAAAAAAAAAAAATAAAAAAAATCCATCCTTACCAAAACAAAAAATGTGGGTTTTTTCTTTTTTTCTTTTTTTTTTTTTAATTCATTTGGCCTTGGAAAACCAAAGTGATGTTTTCTCATTTTTATTTCTCCTATTTGCTCTGTTTGCCTTCTACTGCAAGGAACAGTGCTTTGTATTGGTTCCTTTTCTCATATGCCACCTTTTCAGAAATCCTTTCATTCTGGAAAAAAAAAAAAAAAAAAGAAAAAAAAAACAAAACCAACAACCCTATACATTATTCAAGAGAGAAGATAAATCCATAGACTATAATTTATTTTACTCTAATTACCAGGGGGGGGGGGAAAAGAATACATATTATTAAGTCTGAGAATAATTTTTAATAAGAAGCCAACAGCCTCATAAATGCATAGTGAGATTCCCTCTGTCCTTCTGTATCAGTGTTGCCTCCCTGCTCTCCTTGCCTCGGGTTTGGCCCACATCCTTTTGTAGTCCTTGCCCTTAGGAAAACTGAATGGCCTTGTTTGACTTGTCTTCTGAGATGAACCCAGACTATAGTGTGCAATGCATGGCATGGCAAGCAAAACAATAGCTGTTCTCATTAACCACAAGGCTGGGAAGGGGAAGAGCACCAGCTACAGGTGAGACTTTCAGATACCCTATCATGCCTTGGAATTAAATGAGGTTTGACCACCTGAGTCTAGCATTATTCATTTATTTATTTATTTAGAAACCATTTCACTCTGCTTCCAGGAGTAGCTTTTTTTTTTTTCCTTTTTTTTTTTTTTTTTTTTCTTTTTTGCCTGAAGGTCTCTCTAGATGGACAGCACTGAGCAGGCTTTCCTTCTCCCCTCCCTACCTTCACCCTAAGCTCAAGCCAGCTGGGACATGCCCTTCTGAGGGACACGTAAGGGCTTTTGATTCCTAACATTTCTGCCTTCCTGACAAGATAGTAGGATATATGTGCATGCAGACTGCACACTTGCTACGTGTAACACCTACTTACCTACTTTATTTGGCAGGCTGGCTGATACAGAATTCCTCTATGGGGAAGAGTGGCCCTGGGAAGAGGAGAAACACCACAGACAACATTCAGTGCTGAGGAGAGTTAAGAGATTTCTCAGCGTCCACGAGCACCCTTCCTCCCCCACTCACAGGCGCTACAACAGGCAGACGAGTGAGAATTCGGTGTTCTTCCCCGCAGATGAAAAGGGACACATCAGGCGGCTGCAGGAAATGCACACTAGGGGGAGACATTCTACTTCCAGCTTCAAGAGGAAACACGAAGGAGCTGACCGAAGTAGCAGACTGCACAGTAGCAGGGATCTAGGACCTATAAGCGAAACCTCCAAGAATGAGGCGCTGCTCAATGACAGTGACACCTCATCTGAGACGAACAAGCCGGTTCCTGAGGTCATCATCTCTGAAGCTGAGAGGAAAGAACCTGATGTGCTGGGCAAGCCAACTCTGCAAGCAGAGAGCGCCGAAGTCACACCAGAAGAGAAGCTCCAAAGGAACCTAACTGAGGCAGATGTGTCTCTTATGGACCTTTCTTTATTCCCCCCAGAAGTGACTACACACTTCCCAGGTACTGAGATGCATCAGTCACTGCCTAGCATAAGGGAGCCCAAACACGAAACCCACAATAGTAACATAGCTGGTCTCATAACAGATCATGAGAGAAACCTCCAGCGATGGAGCTTACCGAGCTTCCATAGTCCCAGTGCAATGCCCAGTGCTGACTCTGCACATCTTGTAACAGATGCTGCAACATCTTCACAACCAAGGACTGTGGTAAGTGATGGAAAAAGCGTTACTTCTGCTACTGCTCCAGAGACATTTGAAATGCACCATCTGTTGGATAACCTGGATACCAAAGAAACAGCCATAGTAGAATTTTCTAATGAAAAAAGTAAAAGAAATCCTTAACAGTGCTTCTGGTTCTGGCTGCGCTTCCTGTCTTTTCTTGAAAGTGGTTCTCACAGATGTCTGTTGGAAGGTTCATAAAGGCAGACATGATGCTCAGACAAGTCCTGAGCAAGATCCAGCAGAGGATTCAGGCATCTAAACACGAGGCACTGCAATACGTCAAGCCACTTGGTCACTGGTGGTAAAGAAAAACACAGAGAGGACTGAGAGCCTCAAAAATGGATTCAAACTAGCCAGCGCACATGGTAGTGAAATGTGTGGGCTTGCCTAGAGGAAACACTAAGGTGCAGAGGTGGCTTTTTCCACTTTATATGCACCTTGAATATTGCCATGTAATCTGACAGATGATCCTTCAGATTTAAACCTGTAACATCCTTGTAAGACGACCAACACTCTTGGTTTCTAGTCAAGGAGCTAGAAGGGGAGATTTGGGCTCAATTCCCTCCTCAGCCCACTAAATTCCAATACTTAGAGGTATGCTTAAATAAATCAGGCACCTTATTGTGGCTTGTGGAGGCAAGAGCCTGCTATGGTCCTGCTGAAGCTATGCCACAACGGATTGAAAAATAAAAATGAAATACTTCATATTAAAACTCCATTAAGAGAAACACAAAAGGCAAAATTTCTGATGAACTAGGCATGGGAGGTATGAGTCTTGTTCTGTGCTCCTTAGAGCATGTACATAGCTTATCTAGGGGCCATAGGCCTCTCTCAAGAAGGAGAGCAGCGGAGGTAACTGATCGGAGGCCTCCACCCGTAGGGAGCTGCAGCTGGCAGCACAGGCATAGGAAGGATTTTCAGCAGTTATGGAGAAATTGTATACTGTCTAGCTCTGTTATTACAGACCAGGAACTGTTCTTCCCTCTGAAAGGAGATTGAAGCCAGAAATTGGAAATGACTCTGCCTGTAATATAAAACTCCCACAGATCCACACTTATTCCAGTCCCACCACACCTCCTCAGTATCTTCCTTCACATAACTTTCACCAGGGAGTGGAAGCAGCCTGGCCAGCAGGTCAAGGGAGGTGATCCTGCATCTCTGCTCTGCGCTGGTGAGACCCCATCTGGAGCACTGTGTCCAGATGTGGAGTCCTCAGTACAGGAGAGATGCAGACCTGTTAGAGCGTGCCCAGAGGAGGGCCACAAAAATGATCCAGGGGATGAAACAAACACTTCTCCTACAAGGACAGGCTGTGAGAGCTGGGGCTGTTCACCCTGGACAAGAGAATGCTCTGGAAAACCTGAGAGCAACCTTATGGTATCTAAAGGCAGGTATAAGAAGGAAGGGGACAGACTCCTTAGCAGAGTCTACTGTGATAAGACAAGGGGAAATAGTTTCAAACTAACAGAGGGGAGATTTCAATTACCCAGTTGAAATTTTTTAAGAATTTTTTTTTTTTTTTACAAGAAGAGTGGTGAGGCACTGGACCAGATTGCCCAGAATGTTGGTGGATGCCCTGGATCTCCTTGGAGACATTCAAGATAAGGCTGGAAGGGGCTCTGAGCAAACCTGATGTAGCTGTAGGTGTCGCTGTTCGTTGTGGGGGGTTGGACTAGGTGACACTTAAGGGTCCCTTCCAACTCAGACAGTTTTATGATTCTACCTTCATTCCCCCAGCTCAGATGTCAGCTGATCTGTCTCAGAATAGCTCAGCCTGCAGGAGCCTTCCCAGATTCTCACTGTCCAGCTCTGCTCATCTTCCATCATTTTCTTCTCAGCATGGCCACTGCTAAGAGCACACACTGATGCTATCCATCAGACTTTTGTGCATCTCATGAGCAATGACTTTGCTGCCACTTCCACTCACTCTGTCTGCACTCCCTGCCCCAGTGACAGTACTCCTCCAGTGGAGGCCATGGGGGGGCCATACAGTAGCCACAGGGTGGTTAAACTTCAGTTAGGTCCCACAGAGGCATCTGTTAGATACAGAGAGGTTAGGGATGACAATTCTGAAGTCCCACAGCCTATTATGCAGTAAACAAACAGTACATCACATGTAGTAGGCCAGCTCCAGGATAATTAAAATATTCCATTCATTAGCTCACAAAGAAACTAGTGCTGGGATGAATTATCAGAAAAATTTCCGTGCATTTAGTCTACTATCTCACTGTTGCAAACATCTTCAGGCTCTGTCTTATATTAAATTTTCTTTGGGGATGATGTGCTCCCTTTACACTACTTCTGGTAAACTATTTGCCTTAGCATAGTAAACAGACAATTTCAGCAACCTCAACAATTCACAATTCATGTTCACTGGCATAAAGAATGTAGAATTATTGCATGAATAAAGGCATTTTGAGAAACACAGATGTCTTGACTGTATTGAACTGTCAAGAAACGCTTCTGGCAGAGATGTGAACTACCGTGCAAGTCAACTCAACTTCTACCTGGAACAAAGAGGCAAACCTACAGAAGTGGGCAAAGCTGGAAAAGACTGAGGAAGTGATGGGAGCAACGTGGTTTTCTAACATATTTATATACCCTGACCCTATCAGGTGACGTCAGATAGGATGAGATGCATCAGAATAAAGTGAGGGACACTCCCTGAATGCTCATGATGATTTTCCACATATTTCTAAGATGCGTTTATGCTCCATGCCAGGATTCACAGAGCCAAGCTGTCAGCATGCTGTAGAGACAAATCCCACTGCCTTCAAAATCCTCAGTCATGAACAGCAGATCTCTAACTTTTCCTGTAACTTCTCATTCAATGAAAAAATACGTATTTCAGAAACAATGGAAACGTACCAGAATTGTAAGTCAACTGCACAGCAAGGAAAACAAAGATACTGGCTGCTATGAAACAATTGAAACCTCTTCGTGGATGCTTTTTTTTGCCCTGGTTTATGACCAAAAAAAAAGTTTTCCAATTCAAGAAGTTTTCTTATGGCCATTCTTCTCTAAGCACGATATGCACAATGAGGAGATAATGCAAGGGAGGCATGACATAAGTGCTAACTTCATATAGTTTAAACTTTCCCACAAAAAGAAACAAATGGCAAATGAATTGCTATTGCTATAGGCTGATAGCTGTGGTATCAAAAGTCCAAAATAATGTAGTTGCAAAAGAGAATTGTAAAAACACACACCAGAGAGAGAAAATATTTCATATCTGAAGGCAAAATCAACACCTCTGAGACACCTACACATAAACCACCGCACTCTGTTAATACTTATCAAGTCTTACAGCTGAAGCCTTAAATCTCAGACCTGTGATGGTAACCCTGCCAAGATGCCAACAGACACTGTGCTGTGCTGCCTGTGTGCAGAGCTCATCCAAACAGCTCCTCGTGGCTGTTGGTCTCTATTCCAGGAACACCAAAGCTGCATGGGTTCCTAGTCGCCCTACAGCTGTGCCCAGGCCATGGGCTCCACTCAGCTGGCCCCAGTCCATGTTACCAAGTCTGTACCCAATGCCTGGTGCTGAGGCTGCTCCAACACCACCAAAGGTGAATACTATCCATATATACCACCACTGTAACCTCCCTCCTGGCCCCACCTGACATCAGGCCCAGCTGTGAGGGGAGGTGGGAGATAACACACCATTTGGGCCTGATGGAGAGAATTTGATCCTTCACTTACAGGCCTTCAAGTCATGGCCCTTCTCACCCGCCTCACTGGAGACTTTCCACACACAGGTATTTCAGGTTTGGGGAGAGAAGAGCAGCACAAGCATGTCCTATCTCTCCCCCCCCGGACTGCCAAGCAAGCTGTATATTTAATTGCTGCTGACCCTCTCAACCCCCTCAGAGCAGGTGGCACTGGCATGGCAGGAGCCACTGCAAGGAAACAAAAACCAAGGCAGCACTGAGTCCAAGCAGAATTCATTTGGTTAAGTTTTATTCACATGTACAGAGGCAGCAGTGGTTTTTAACAATCGAAACAAATATTCCAGTAGGTTTCATTTAGGTAAATCTTCTTTGGCTCGATCAACTGCAGAAAGTTCAGCAACTCCCCTTGTGTGGACTGCAGTGTGGTTTTTGCAATGCAAATAGATACCCTGAACCCAGAAGATCAGAATCAAGTGACATTGAATACCAAGACCCAGAGAAGGAGAAGTAAAAAGTCAGTAGAACAAACCTAGGAGAAGAGCAGGTTTGAGAGAGCTGTAAGCTGTCTGCAAGGAAGTGTATCAGAAAGCATGGTGGTCACTCAGGGATCACTCCTTTTCATAAGAATTGGTTGGAGCAAACCCAACAGAATGTACATGGCAGGAAGGAGACAAAGTTGCCAAAACAAGAACATAATGGGAAAAATGAAGTCAGTGGGAAAATGAGATGGAAATGGCACACAGGAATAAAAAAGGGTACAAACAAACCAGCCTGGGATTAGCTTCACTCATTTCTAACTGTTATACTCTCAGTCTTATGCTTTTCAGCATTTTCATCCTTCCTGCCTTCTTGCAGAGCTGCACAGCATGCTGAGATGAGCTCTCTTCATCGAGAGAGTTATTCAGGAAGCTCATGTATCTCACTTGTAAGTATACAGATATTGAACCAAACTGAATAATTTGGGACAAGGATTGCCTCGAGCACTTAAAACTTGAGGAGCAGGTCTGCATTCTGGTTCAGTTTCACCTTTAGTCCTTTTTCACAAGTCTGCTCAAAATCATTATATCAGCATCCATGCCGATGCAGAACGAATGCGATTACAACTCACTAATAATCGTCCCTGTGAGCAGATTTTGCAAATCCCACTCTATCATTCCCACGGTCAAAAATGCAGTAAAAGGCAGACATAAAGACATCTCCTAAAATCCAGAGCGAGCCACTGCGAGTTGGGATGTCAAGAGACTGGAAGCCGCTCATGCAGAAGGTTTGGTCATCGATGGACTCCTGGAAGAGAAAGAATATCTCCTTGCAGTGGCTCTTCTGGCCCTGACCAGGAGCAGAGAGTCAGGAGGACACGCACCTTCACAACGTACTGCTCTGCTGTCAGCTTGTATTCGTGGTGCCCAATGGTGAAGCTGATGTGGGGCAAGCTGGACAGTCTTCTGCAGTCTACAAGAAACTGTATGCAACACGCTGGTTGGCATGGGATTGATTTGCCTTTTTTTAAATACTGTTCTTTGCATTCAAGCTTTTTGCCACTACTAATGGTGAATTTACTGCAGAGGAGCATTAGGCCAACTCATGGCCCAGCGCTGCCACGGGTCCCACACTGGGTCATAGCAGCTGCACCAAAGCCCCCAGGGCCTCTGAAAAGCATTGCATGCCCTAACGGGACAAGGTGCAGGGCCATTCTGATGCCCCCCATGTACAAAACCAAGTTTGTGCCCCACAAATAAGAAGAGAGAAGCAAGGTGTGCTGAGAGGAATCCCTCCAGGTGTCGGACTGTGGTGGGGTCCTGGAGCTGCCTCCAGCCCACGCAGTGCCTTATCGAAGGTAACATCACTGCTTCAGGAGAAAAAAAAGGGAACCATTCAGAAAGCTCATGAGGAACACAGCACTTCATCTGTTTATACGTTCATATATTCATATGTTACCCTGCACTGGAGTGGGATTTAAAGAACAGAAAAAGGACTGAATGTTGGCATGTCCATTAATTTCTATAAATAATGCATTTGCTTACAGTAACCCAGCAGATCATTTCCTGGCCTCCCAGCTATTTCACCAACCAACCAGTGTGTGAAATGGCACTGCACGATGCTCCAAGCCCAGAGGGATCTTTGAGGCAAACTGTAGCGTTTGAAGTCATTGTTAGGGCCTTCCTACAAGGAAGGCACTATTTTTGCTGTTGTTAAATCAACTGAATCAAAATACAGCCATAAATCTTTTGTATACCAAGCAGGTGTCATGCCATTACAGCAAGATAAACAACAGGATAGAGAAGATAAGGGAAAGAGAGCCAGCACAGTGATTTGCAGGATATAAGAAGCATGACATAATTCATTTACATCGTCAGTACATCCAGAGCAAATTAATCCTTTCTGGAAAGAGATAAAAGTTCTGGTAAAATCACTGATGAATGCACCTACTTACACCAGGACAGATTTAAGCCAACACACTCAGCCTGCCTGAGTTTTAAAAAAAACCAGTGACATAAAGAATGTCTTCCAGGTTTGTTTTTACAGAATTGGAATAAGTGGCCTCATGGTGAAACGATGCATTCCTTGTTTATATAGTATCAATGTGATTACTTTGAAATTACCTATTTTATCTACATCCATGAATATGTGCCGTTATAAAAACAACCTGTTATCAAAACAAACTTTCTAACACGCATCTGAAAACTTTAATTGAAATATAAGGTTTAACTGAAAAAGAAATCCAAAGCCCCATCAGTTACACAGAAGCATCTCCAGGCCTCCCCCTCCCAAAGGGAGACGGATTAAAGCTCGCTTTCTCTCTGAACTTTGCCTCACACACAGGGCAAAAGTAACACTTAATTCTCTCCAAAGTGCAGTGCTGTCGTGATAACTGTGGAGTCACCCAGAACTGTAGGAGGTGGTTTTACTTGCAGTACTGGAGTGTGGCAGGATAGAAACTGACTGTGGGAGTCAGCCAAAGGTCAGCAATAATGCATGGAAAAATAAGCAGCCTCCTTCCTGGAGCTGGGTAGGATTAGCCATCAAAGGCTCACTGTCTCAGTGATTTACATATTGCCAGGGCTTGGAAAAGTAACAAGGAGAAGGTATAAAGGGTGGTAGAGGAACATCCTTGCTGAGAGGGCAGCGACCAGCCCAACCTCCAGCAGCCTCAGCTTGTGTAACCCCCAGAGAGAAGTGTGGGGAGCTGGGAGTACAGCTGTGCAGCTGGAGAAGCCATGAAGCAACAAATCCCAGCCACCTCAGCTGACTAGAAGAGGTGGAGGTGCTCCTTGGAAGAACAGCAGTGAGGAGGGGGAGTGCTGGCTGGTATCAGGAAGGGGGATGCAAGAGGAAAGAGATATTCAAACAATGAGGAAATGCAAGAAAAGCACTGAGCAGGGAGAGCAAGAGGCAGCGAGGTCTGTCCTGTACTCCTGGGGTACTCCAGAGCCAATGTTGTGAGAAACCTGGATATGCCCCTCCCCAGAGCCCTGGCATGAACCCTCCTGATCTGCAGACAGAGCGGGCAGTGGGAGGTCCATCAGCAGAGCCACTTGGGGTCATAATTAACACACCGTTCTGTTGCCATTCCTTTTTAATGTTGATTGGGATGGCCATCAACTCCCTTTAGCTCTGGGGAGCCCACAGCTATAGCTGGGGACTCGGCAAGGTAGTACTATTCTGATTGTCCAAAAGAAAATTACCTTTCAGAAAAAATGTGGAGCATGGAACAATTCCTTAAACAGATTCCCCCAGTTTCCTTACACATCATCACTG